CTTTAAATTCGTAATCTTCACCTAAACATTTATTGAGTTGTTTCTTGAGACGAGGAATTTCCTTTTCCCACTCATCTCGAATATTTTTTTTTGTTTTTAACGGAAGAACTTCATTAGGATCCTTAATTAAATCGATAATATTATAACCAATGGAAGAATTTGTTCCGAAAGAAGTAGGTTTAACTTTAATATAAATTGCTCCATCTTTAATTTCAATTGAATTATAATCATTTAAATCCTCATCATAAATGAAATAAAATTTTTTCGTAGAAATAACATTAACAAATTCTGATCTAATCAAATCATCATTTTTAGCATAATCAATAATATATCTTGTCAATGATTCAAAATATCCAAAAACTATTTCACCTAATTTAGTTTTCAACCAATTAGCATTAACTTCATTTACTGAAATAACTTTTAAATAAATATCTTCCCAATCAATAATAAATTCATAATCTTCATTCAAGATTTGTTTAAGTGATTTTTTAAGTGAAGGAATTTGTTGTTCCCAATTATCTCTAATATTCTTTTTTGTAATTAAAGGTAATACTTCATCAGAAGATTTTAATAAATCCAAAATATTATATCCAACTCCACCAGTATTTGTACCAAAATAATTAGGTTGAATTTTAATATAAATAATACCATTAATAATAGAAATTTCATTATAATTATCTTTAATTTCTGAATCAATAATAAGATGAATTTCTTTATTATTAGTTATTTTAATAAAATCTGAACGAATCATATCATCATTTTTTATAATTTTTATAATATTTAAAATTAAAGATTCAAAATATTGAAATGTAATATTTCCTAAATTCTTTGTTAACCATTCTTTATTATCAGAATTAACTTTAATAATATCTAAAAGTATTTTATTAAAATTAACTATAAATTCATAATTTAATCCTGTAATAGAATTTAAATTATTCTTTAATTCTGGAATTTTATTTGTAAAATCATCTCTAACACTTTTTTTTGATGCAAGTGAAAGACCAGTCGTATCAATAGACATATTTAATAATATAAGATATAATAATATTTAAAAATGTAAATATATAAGTGTTTAAGCGAAAAAAAAATAAAACTAAAAAAGCACGAAATAGGATTAAAACCTTTACGTATTACACTTTTAATTTAATTAATTTGACACGAATTACACTAAATTTACTTAATTGTAACCATGAGTTACACGAGTCCGGAAAATAAGAAAAAAAAGTGGAAAATCATATGCGTAAAAAAAAAAATGAACGATTCGTTACAATAACCTGAACTGTAAACAAGGCTTAGTACATTCTCATTAAAGTGGTTTTATATCAGATATATAAAACTTTCTCTGTATACCTCTTTTACTAAACTTTTGTGACACAATGAGTTTTTTTAACGCAAACGGGCCGGGTGGCTCATGGGGAAATATGTTGAAACAAGCAATGAATACTGTCGAAAGTAAATTTGATAAAGCACTTGACATAGGAGAAGGTATGTATTTTGGTTTACAGGTTTATAATTAGTTAGTCTTTTCAACGATCTCTATTTTTTTTTTTTCTTAACAATCTTTTGAATAGGTAGTGTGTATCAAGGAGAAGTATACGTAGATCCTGTTACCGGTTTTGTGACAACTCTTGATCCACCAAGTTCAACTTCACAAACTATAACAAAATCAACTCAAAATAATAATAGTTCACAAAAATCTATTTCATTAATTGATTCAGAATCAAAAGATTTAAGTATAATACATGATAATATAATAGAACAATCAAAATCTTTAAAAAATGAATTAGAAACTGATAGTTTAAAATCAGAAATAACTATACAATCACATCAATCAAGAGAAATAAATGGTATTGATAGTTCTAGAACATCTCATGATTCAAGAACTTCTACTACAGAATCTCAATTGACAACTGATAATTTTCAACATATAATTGAACAACGTGAACGTCAATTACTTAGTGCAACCGAACAAAATGCTTTATTAAATAATACTATAGAACAACTTAGAAATCAATTACAAGAATTAGATGAAACTAAGAATGCTGAATTAAAAATTGTTAAAGATCATGTTGAAGGTTTGGAAAATTTATTGAAAGGTGCTAACAAGGTTGATATGTTTTCATCAATCTTGTAAAAAAAATAATAATAATAATAAAAAAAGTCAAAAAAAAAAAAAAAAAAACGAATCTCGGAATGATCTCTTTTATATATTTATTCGATTAAAAAAATTAGGAGCTTGATGTTATTCGACAGCAACAGGCTAATAAAGAAAATCCTACAATCCAAAATTTACTTGAAATACAGAGAAAATTATTATTGGAAAAGGATGAACAAATTACTGGGCTTTTGTCTGAAGGTTTGAAGATTTTCTCTACTTAAGATCAATAATAAAGTCTTCAGGTCAGGAATTAAATACTTTTTATATTAATTAACGAAAAAAAATAAAATAAAATAAAAATAGGTGAAAAACTATCTAAAAGCGAACTCTTACATAGAACGAGCCTTAAAAAATATCGAACGAAAGAGGTCGAACTAGAAAATAATTTCGCTGACATACAAAGAAAATTTGAAAAAGCCACTAGTGAGGTTACTGATTTAACGAATAGGTTAAAACAACTTCAAGATAGTGAAAAAAAACATATTAGTGATATAAAACGTCTCGAAGATGATCGTGAACGTAAATTGCAACAAAATTTAAAATTGGAGATTGACCTTGCTGTTTCAAAGGAAGAACGATCAAACCTTCAAGTATGTATAAAAAAATAAATAATTATTAAATTTAATGTAAGTGGGGAGTGGATTTAAGATTTAGGGCCAGGGAGTAGGTTTTATAAAATTAATTTACCCCAAAATTTTAATTTTCCCTAAAATTTTAATTTAATTCCATATCCACGCACCACTTATACACATTTATTTATATATTTGAATTCTTTTAACGTAAAAAAAATGTTATCGATTTATATAAAGCGTCTTTTAGATAAATCAAATGAAGAACTTCAAGAAGCACTGAGTACCAACTCTATTGCATCCATGCAAGCGCAAACGGCAGCTTTAGAAAAGGAGGCATGTAACTTTATATTTTAATATATCCTCAAAAAAATATTTATATTCATACTTAGTTTTTTTTTTTTTTTTTTTTAATAATAGATTAATATTAACGCAAATCTTAATAATGAGTTAGAACAATTACGTTCAAATTCTGAACATACGGAAACTATCTTAAGAAATGAAGTAGGCTTATTTTTTTCATATTAAATATTTATGGAACAGAATTTAAGTGGATTTAATCATGGAGGAGGTTTATGAAATATATATATTTTACCTAAAATTTTAATTTAGTTAAGAAATTCTAAACCCTCTTAAATTCTGCATATATATGTTATATAACTTATATAAAATATAATTTCTTTTTAATTCAAGATTCGTGAATTAAGAGCTACTTTAGTACGAATTGAAGAGCAGGCAGGTCTTCGTGAGGATAATTTACGGAATGAAATTCTGGTATGATATCGGTGAATTTTTTTTTTTTTTGTTTTAAATAAAAAAATAAAAATAAAAATAAATTTTTTTTAATTCATTTGGAATATATTTCAAAAAGTCATTACAAAAACAATTACAAATAGCAGAAAATTGTGCACCAGATTCCACGTCAGATGAATGGGAAATGGATCGAATTCAAGTACTCAAACAAATTGAAGATGTAAAAACGCAATATGCACTGTCCGTTAAAAATTGGGAAAAGATAGAGCATAAGTAAATATATATATATATTATTTGTTTTAATTTATACTATATAATCAATATTAAATGCTTTATATTCTATATTTCATAGTCTTACAACACGATTAACTGAAGTAGAAGTTGAACGTGATCAATACATTGAAGAATGTAAAAAATTAAATTCGCAATTAAGGGAATTGGTAAGAGAAAAGTAGTTTAGTTAAAATTCATACCTTTAAAAGACCATAAAAAAAATATTTGTAAAATATTAATATAGTAAATATTATTATTAATTAATTATTTCAGAAGTCACATTCTGAACAAAAAGAACTTGAACTTATATCAGAGCTTATCGCAGCTCAACAAAAAAATTCACAATTAAAAGAGGAGATAGAGTTACTTAATTCTCAAATTCCAATTCTAAATAACGAAATTAAAACCCTTACATCAAAACTTGAATCATCTGAAGAATATCATCAAAAAAGTTTTAAAGAAGCAGAAGAACAATATCGTTGTATGTTACGAAAAACTCTTGAAGAAAAACAGAATGAATTAGAAGAGAAATTACGATCAGAGCAGGAGGAATCCAAATCAAAGGATCGTGGACTGGAAAAAAACGAGTTTGAACAAAAATTTCATGATTTAAATGAAAGGTATGTTGGATATGTCAAAATACTTTATATATTTTTTTTTGGCATATTATTTACTCTAAAAATGGTAATATCTTTTTTTATAGATATGATACTGCATTGGAATTATTGGGTGAAAAGACAGAAAAGGTGGAAGAGTTACAAGCAGATATTCAAGATATGAAAGATGCTTATCGTAGTCAAATAACGGATCTAATTGCTCAATTAGAAAAATTTAAAAGTTCATGATATTTTATTATATTTAATAATTTTAATTTCTTTTGCCCTTTACTTTCCATTCTTTGAAATTATTGGTGATTTATCTTTACCTTGTATTTGTTGTGAAAGGCTTTATTTATAAATTTCAAAAATAATCACTATTAAAACTTTAATATCTTTTTATTTATTAATTATAATGAAATTTGTGTTATTTTTTCATTGTTTTTATTCAGAGAAACTTATTACTGGCGCAATCAATTATATTATTTTTTTTCTTAGAAAAACCTACTTAGAAAATTGTATGTCGTAAAGAAGCAATATAGATTATATATCTTCATGTATATTGACAACTGCTTCTGTATTTATTGGAGTAGAATTTAACATACAGTAATGATATATTTACCTATTATAAACAAGACTTCTTGTTTTATGGTCCTCTAATATTTTTGAATATAGGGTCTTTTGCCTTGAAAATGACCTTACGGGACATAGTAAATCCCAAACTTGATTTTCAAGGCAACATGTTATATATTTTAGTAATAAGCTTAATCTTGCATATTATTAGAGTTAATGTTGAGTAATGTAGTTGAGTTTAGATTGTTAAATATAGGTTCAGATTTATAATACAATTTTTATTAGCATGATCCAAAGTTATTCTAATAAAGGTTGTATTGACTGTAAAGTATATTTATTTTATTGATTGATCACTTTTTGACCATCATTATATGTTCAACTTATAAATAATATTATTGTGACGAGAATATTACTAAAAAAGTTGTTTTAAAAATATTTTGTAGTTGCATGAAATTTTTATCACTTTAGTTTTTAAGGTTCAAATCAGTTTAAATTGATTTCAAATCTACAGATGTTCTGTATTATCTACAAATATGTTTTTTTTTTTTTTTTTTAATTCAATTTATTTAGAGGAGGGGAAAGT